TTATTATCAGTGTTGAAACTGTTGTGCTGCTTAATATTTTTTTGGAACCTGTGTTCCATAAACAAAATAAAAAGTTAAAAAGAACAGAATTTATTCAAAATAGAAATATTTTCTAACAATATCACTTTTTATCCATTTAACACATCTTTTTAAAAAGATTGTAAACGTTTTTTAAAAGTATTCTAAAAGTTTCTTTTAAAAAAAAGGAAAAAAGAAGAAGAAAAAGAAATTTACTGACCCCAATTTTTTTTTGAATAGTTGTGTATATTTAGCACAATTTTTATTTTGTTCTTTTTAACCTTTTATTTATCAAAGAATCCTGAAAAAATATCACAGGTCCCAAAAAATATTAAGCAAAACAACTGTTTCCACTAAAATCTGGAATAATGATGCTGAATATTCAGCTTTGCTTCACAGGAATAAATTATATTTTCAAGTATATTAAAATAGAAAACGGTTTTGTTAAATTCCAATAATAGGCTATTTCACAAAATTACAGTTTTTTTTTCTGTATTTTTGATCAAATAAATGCAGGCTTGATGAGCATAAGAAACCTCTTTAAAAAACATAAAAAATCTTACTGATCCCAAACTTTTGACAGCAGTGTATATATTCATATATATATATAGGCTATAGGCTATCTACCTCATGAACAGTTAAATATTCTCCCATTGTGCAATACAAATATGTGCAATAACCTTATATTTATCTCTACATCCTAGTACATCCCTACAACTTTATTTTTTATTCTGTTCATATTCTACAGTATTTTATCTATAGCACACCTGTACATATTTATCCTTTGTGTGTGTGTGTGTGTGTTTTATTTATATTTATACATATGTGTATTTTGTTCACATCTTATTTTTATTATCTGCGTTGTTGTTGTTGTTGTGTCTGTGTACTGGAAGCTTGTGACACTAAAACAAATTCCTTGTATGTGCAAACATACTTGGCAATAAAGCTCTTTCTGTCTTCTGATGCGTGTGTGTAATATACAGTAGGCCTACTACAGTATGAAAATGCATATTTTTAAATTAAAGAGAACTTATAGAATAAATATATACTGCTTTGGGTGCTTGACACTCAGTGACGGCGCTACACCGGGACTAGTGGGGCTATAGCCCCGTCAGAATTTTTAATAGCCCCGGTTTAGCCCCATTTCTTTATGAAGTAACTCTGACGTCATCAATATCATTTATGTGTTTTAAGAATGATATTCAAGGTTAAGAATACGCTGAAAGTTACTTAAATGTAAATACGACTTTCCTTATTGATCACGTCTTCCCTCAGCAAAATGCACGTTTTCTTGCGTGACTGGATGTTGGAATCACGTTGTTTGCATTCGCCCAAACTGATTTGCTGAAGTCGAAACGCGGTCGTTAAAAAAACCCAACTCCGGCGTGAGTCCCGCTTGCTGTGAAGCGGCAGAGGATTCCGCTTGGTCTTAAAGCCTCCCTGGAACGGCTATGTTCACAAATCAAACACTTGTCAAAAAAGAATGATTAATTCTCAATTTAGAGTTTGTTATTCGTATGGTCTAGGTGTTCATACGGCATATGCCTTAAATACGGGACAAACTGCGTTCCGTATAGCTTTCATACGGAACGCTTCTTTGATGCCTTAAATACGGGACGATTCCGTATTATACGGAACGGTTGGCAACCCTAATCACAACATCAAATCTCAGATATTTTGTTTATATATGTTAATTTAGATTTGTTTGTAAAATAATATGCATAATATAATATTAAAATATAAATAACTATTTTTAAATACATTGAATTATTGAACACTTACACATTTTTGAATGATTACAATTAAAGTTTTTTTAATAGCTAGTAAACACCACGTTCTCAACAATTATGCTTTAACCAGTGTATTAGTAGTTAGCTAGTATGCTACACTCTAATAAATGTGTAGCATACGCAGGTACCAGCTAGAAGCTGCTAACAAGTGTATCATAAATGAGCAATTATTATTATTATTATTATTAAATTGAACAATTGCAAATAGCAGCTATCTCATTTCACGTGATGTGTGTACTGCTAGGTATCTCTGATTTCCTCTTTTTGTGTAATTTGGATGGAAAATGTGTGCCTTTTTATTGTCTGAGTCACTTGTCAAAAGTTGCCAAATAAATTGTTAAAATGGCTAAGTTTGTTGCTAGGTGCTTTTGAAAGAAAACGTTGCTAGGGTAGTCTGAAAGTTGCTAAATTTAGCAAGGAGGCTACGTTAATAAATGTAGCTACGTTAAACGCCTATTTAACCCTTTCGATCGTGCTATGACAAGCCGAGCATAACATTGTATTTCGATCAAAATAGAAAATAATACTAGACATTAGGATACAAATACATGTTTGGTCTTTATTAACTTTATTCATAGTAAATAGATTTTAAAAGACACGATTATATAAACACGAATTACGACTGTCGTTGTCGACTGTTGTGGCGTTATTTTCAGTGAGATTTCAGTGTGCTGTGTTAAAATCAAAGAAAAAGGTTCTATTCTCATGAACGGAATCTTTTTATTGTGCTTCATTTCCAATCAAGATGTAATATTGTAAATTAAGCATACAGTATATGTGAAAATACAGGATACGTAAAACAATGAAATAGACCTCAGGAAGCAATTTTATTCCAAAAATATCATTTCCACAACCATATTATATTATTTCATCCACAGAATGCTGTTAAACATAATATATAATTTGAGATATGATGTAAATTAAACTGGTGGAAATGTCCATGAGACATTTAGATTTTTCTAAAGGTCCACAAGGTCAGATGTGTCTGTAGTTACAGAAACAACTGCAATGGGTACAAAATATATTGGCACATGCTTAAAAGCCAAACAAAAAATATGACAAAGTAAAACATTAGAGTTTACTATGCATATTTCAGAATATGTGTACCATGCATTTACTGTAAATAGGAAAGAGCCAATTCAGAGTTTCTGTGATGTGCCATTAGGTGTAAGGATGGTGAGGTTTCCTCTGGCATTCTGGTCTACTTCAATTGCCTCAAACAGAGATTTGAAATTTCCAGCACCAAACCCCTAAAACAAGAAAGGAATACTGTTATTTATGTTTTTTCCACGTAGTAAGAAATGCTACATATCTATGCATTTAGGAGACATTTCTGAAGAATAGTTTTTAATCAGTTAAATGCAGATTTACATATATGATGAATGCTTGCTCTGAAACAATTCATGAACTATTGATAGATTCTTGCTTACTTGGTGGTTGTGTCTCTGGATTACCTCCAGAAATACTGTAGGTCTGTCCTGTACTGGTTTGGTGAAGATCTGGAGTAGGTAGCCATTGTCATCATAATCCACCAAAATTTTAAGTTCCTGTATAAAGCAATGCCACACTATTTTCACATTCTGTTTCAGATTTGCCACAGAAATTTGCATTCATATGGACTATTAGCTGGCCAATTACTCTTTGCTGCATTTCCTTCAACTAAAAGGTCAAATTTAGACTATGCATTGCTCCTCCTTCTTAATAGCTGATTAAACACTTTGATTACTTGAACTGGAAATATTGTCTTACCTCCAATATGCTGATGTCCTCAACAATTTTGACTTTGGAAAACTTCAGCTTCTCCCCGAGCTTCTGGTAGTAAGTGTCAGGCACTCCCATGAACTCCATACCACGTTCCTTTAGGTTACGGATCTGAAAATATATTCAAAATGCCAAGTAAACTTAAACCTTTGCACACTACCTTCTGCCTTCTCTATCAATGTTGTAAAACCTCTTATTGCTGTGGTTTACTCACTGCTGTGATGATGTCAGAGGTGTTCATGGCGATGTGTTGAACCCCTGCACCACCGTAGTACTCTACATATTCCTAAAAGGAGAAAAATAGTCAGATAAATAGATGCATGCATTGTATAGATGAATGTAAGTACAGTAGATGTCATGTTTATAATACATGCCTGAATCTGGGACTTGCGCTTCCCCATGGCTGGTTCATTAATTGGCATTTTCACAGTTTCTTCATAGTTGGCCACTACTATGGAGCGCAGCGCACTGTATTCAGTCTGTAACTGCTTGTCATCTACAGACCAGTATCTGTGGAACAGCAGGTTCCTCTGATACCTTCATACAAACACACACAGGTCAATTTAACACAGTGATGCTGATGTGAAAAGCAATGGCAAAA